TGGACTGGAGTTCTCCTCTGCCATCAGAGCAACACAGACAGTTTTCGCCTCCTTGCAGCTGTCTTTTATGGCTCTAAATATGTGTGTTGTTTCCCTTCCTGCTCCAATCCTCACATCCGGGAAGTCCTGCAGTTTCCTCCTCTGGGTTCTGGGATGTGCTGAGGCATAGCAGAGCGGGTGATTGTCATTGAAACTTGGCTGCAGCTGCTGCTGCTTCTGACGCTGGAGAATGTGCACTTTAGCATCATGTCCCACTCTCTGATGCTAAACAGTCCTTTTCAGTCTTTTAATAGATTCTTGGGGGAGGAGGAAGTGGAGGCTGAGATTAGCTTTGTTCGCTTGTGTGCCTGTCTCAGTCAGATTGGCATCTGGCACCAAGTCTACTGTTTGGTCAGATGGTATTGTTTTCTGTTATACACTCACACACACACACACACACACACACACACACACACACACACAGCACGAGCTCAAACCATACGTCTCTATGTCTTCGTCTCTATGTCTTCAAGTTACGTTGCACTGACCAAAATCATATTTACCACACACTGAGGTATAAATTCAAAATACATGTTCTTTGGCGTCTGTAACCATGTCAAGTGAGGTTCTGTTTTTTCAATATGGCAGTGGGTTGCAGGCACTAGAGAAAACTCCCTCCAACTGATCTCTACTCTCTTTAGTGAAAAGAATGCATAGAATGTGATGAGAGGACCAGTTCAACCAATTACCTCACGCAGAGATAATTCAATCTTTCTAGGGAAGCCTCAGTGGACAATTAATGTGAATTGAACTTCCCAAATCTCTCCCTCCCAGACTTCTAAAGATGGCTAGAATTCATCTAGAAATCATTTGAAAAAGAAACCCTGCCTTCTTTTTCCACCCAGACGTGGTTTTCTTCCAGCTGAAAGCTTCCCAGAGCTCCTTAAGACCTGCCTTCACTTTCTAGAGTGAGTTTAGAAACTTCAGAACTATGAGAACAGAGGTCAGCAAACTATGTCCCCATGGACCAAATCCAACCAGCTTCCTGTTTTTGTAAATAAAGCTTTACTGAAACAAAGCGATGCCCCCCAACTGCCTTTTTTTATTATTATTATTATTCAACAAATTGTCCATGGCTGTTTTCATACTACAATGGCAATGTTGAGTATTGCCAGCAGAGGATGTTTCGCCCACAAAGCCCAAAATATTTACTATGTGGCCCTTTGCTAAAAACATGTGCAAGTCCCTGGGAAATAGAATCCTATGTCCTGAATGACTAATTGAATTAAACCAAGAAATAACAGGTCAAAAATATGCTCATATTCAATTCATACCAGGTTCATACCAGGTGACCAGTGAAACTAGTGGCCAAATGTGCCACCTCAATTAATATTCAAATATTACAAAATCAAAGAAGTTCTCTCCAAAAAGTAGGCCTGCCATTGATTAGAAATTATTCCCTGCTGCCCTATTATCACTCTCCTCAACACAAACCATGGAGTAGCACAGGGCTTTAGTTTCTCTGTGACTCGTCCTCTTTGTTCAAGCTGACATTGCTCCCCATACTTGTTACCCCACACCTGATAGCCAGGCACCAAGATGACCATAACATTGGCATAGCCAACAGTGCTTGGGGATGTAATGACACACAGCAAATTAAATGTCATAGAAAGGAAAACACTAACAAGCTTTCTCAAGCTCTGAGTCATATATTCATCACAAGCATGTGACTACTATTGTTCCTTTTGTCTTAGAGGAAAACTCATGCAGAGACTGACTAGGCATAAAAGGCAGATTTCATATATTTTTATTTAACAGTTCTGTGAGTTCCAAAACTGCCTGAATAATTCAATCCACAGGAAAAGGACCGTTCCAAAGAACTCCCATCCATGACTTACTAGAGTTAATGATGTTGGTTTCCAGACAGATTGTAACTGCTGATATTATACGCATAATAATATATTTGGTGAAGTTAGTTACCCTAAGAAAATCTGCTCTGGGTACTTTTTTTTTAGAGCTGTCTGCTTTGTGGTGACTGGACTGAGAGCCAAGAGACTGGGCTGGAAATCGTGTGACTCAGGGCAAATCGCTCAACCTCTCAGTTTCAGCCAGACTCTGGAAATGAGGAGTTTAGACAAATAACAAGAAAATCACCCTCCTACCTTACAAAGCACTTTTCTGAATGTTATCGTATGATTTTTAGATGAGTTGTGTATCTCCAACATATGTAAATGCCATTGAAAATTCTGAAACCAGCTTGGCAATTCTTCAATAGTCTAGAAAATTCAGGTCAAAGTGTGCAGTAGTTTGAATGTCCCCTCCAAAACTCATGTTGAAATGTAATTGTCATTGTGATGGTATTATCAGCCAGGGCCTTTAAGAGGTGATTAGGTCATGAGAGCTTCAACTTTCTGAAAACATTAGTGCCCTTATCATGAGAGTGAGTTAGTTATCACGGGTGTGGGCTCAGGATAAAAGGATGAATTTGGCTTGATTTCCTCTGTTTCATGTGTTGACTGTGTGATGCCTTCTGCCATGTTATGACACAGGAAGAAGACCCTCACTAGATGTGACCCTTCAGTCTTGGACTTCCCAGGCCCCAGAACCATGAGACAAATATCTCTCTCTTTTTTTTTTTTTTTTTTTTTTTGGTAAATTCCCCTCTCTGTGGTATTCTATTATAGCAGCACAAACAGACTAAGACAAAGTGTGATTCTCATTTTTTCATCATGCGCTTCTTTATAACAAAGACATTGCTCAAGAAATAGAGTATTTTAAAGGTTTGAATTTCTTTATCCAGCACTCACCTATGCCCACTTCTTACCTAGTCCTCTTCAGATACTTTTTCTAGGTAACTGACCTCAGTTAGTTGTGCCATAGGCCTAAGATTAGAACAAAGCCAAGAAACCCTAACAGGTAACATAAAAAATGCAAGCCTGTGTGCACCAACATCACTCAACTAAAGCCTGATCTTTAGAACTAGAAAAGATTCAGTGAGACACTGTGGCATCCGTGTGTCTTGGGTACATTCCTCTCCTTACACTAGTGATGCTCAGTTAAGTTTGTGTGGAGTGTTTTGCCAGACTGAGCCCCTCTCTTTCCCAAGCATCTGTGCTAATCCTGGTGGAGTCCTTGTAGTGAAAACCTCAGACTCTGGTCTTCGTTTTCAGAATTCCTATGCAGAAGAAATTTTCTGTGTTTCTGACTGTGTGTGCATAAGGGCACAGTTTTGTGGATTATAGTGTGCATTTGCGGGGCAAGGTTTTGCAGTGTATGTGTTTGTACCATGGTCAAGCAGTGGATGGAATGTGGAAGGGTTAGGACGCATTTTCTTGAGGCCTTTCCAAGTTGCTAAATGTATTCTGTAAAGCTCAAGTGTATAGTCAGGCTTGGATTTCCTCTTCTGACATTCTCAACTGGTGGCATTTGTACCTCTGGGAGTACACCAAAGTGACTGGAACTGAATGGTTGGCATAAAAATCTTCTGGGACAATGGGTAAAGAAAGATGTAAGATCTGTCTGCCCAGTAGCTGAGAGTTTGGTGTGAAAAGAAAACAAAATCAACTTCCAACTCAGTTTCTTGCCCAGTTACATTCTGCTAGTCAATCAAGTCATCCAATCCCAAACGCTTAGGAATTTTAATGTGATTCTGGTAGTTTGGAAATTAAGTACACAGGCCAAACATCAGAAGGCTTGGTGAGATGCTCAGTCCTAAGTAAAAACAAGAATTAAACTAGAAAAATATTAATTGTTATAGCATCTCTTCCTGATGGGTTAGTTTATCTTATATGCCCTGAAAAAGAAAAAATGTTGCATTTGAGTAAGAAAATAAAATAAACTGAAGTGCACATATGTCTGACGAACATCTATTTTTAGGACATTTTTGAGGTCTTAAAAAAGAATATAAGTAGCTTGGAAAGATTTTTCAAGAACAACATTTAAGTTGACATAATTATATTGGTTTAGTAGACTTTTACTTTAGGGTGATGGTTTCCTAATTTGTTAGGACCCAAGCAACACTCATCTGTTTCAACCAAAGTAGCTACCCTTTCGTTTTCTTACTGCCTTCTGATTTTGGGGTTCTCTGTGTGATTTCCACTGCAAAAGAACTGGAAGAGCATTCATTAGGTCATTTCTGAGAATCCTTATGGCTTCTCTAGCTGATATAATGGAATGAAAAGGGAGATAAATCATAGAGAAAACAGTGTGACAGACACTGCTAATTTTCTACCTAAATCATCCTCCTCCCACTATTCTACCCTAATTTGTCCTTACTTGCTGAATCCCAAGTTTGCTCTAATACTTGAAGCTACCATGAGTTCAAGGATGGAGACCATCTTTGTCCCAAAAGTGAAACTCTATTGATCTGTATCAATCAGAGTAGTCTTAATTGCTGGCCAGTCATTGTCTCGGGCATGGACATGTGCTCCAACTCTGAGCTATGAGGAACTAGGATCTCCTCGAAGCATCTGAAGAAGACTTTTCTAGACAGAGAAAAGCCTTTCAAGGTAAAATCTGTTTTCTCTGCTGGATTTCTGAACCAGGGTTAGCCACATAATTTGCAGGCCCGAGTGAAAATTTAAAATGTGAAGATCCTTTTTCAAGAAGCAGAATCAAACATTTTCCTTTTTTTTTTTTTTTTTTTTTCAATGGTCTCTCCTTCTTGACTTGTCATAGTTGTTTTTATTTGTGCTTTGGGTTTGGGGTACCCTCAGAGACACCTAGAGCCTCGTCCTGCAACTCAGCATGTACAGCACACATTACTCTGACCCCGACCCCCTGCACCTATACTCCAACCTCTGCTGGAGGCAGAGGTGGGCAGCAGCTGTTGGGCAGTGACTGCGAGCAAGTGGCCTAGAACTTGTCCCAGCAAGGAGGTCAGGCAGGACTGCCCATGAGTTGGGGCTCTGAACCCTTGGTACATGCTTCTTTGTTCCATCATACTTCACTTACAAAGCACAAATTCTAAGTACAATTACTAAGAATTCCAATACAGTGACCACAGAGCATTAGCACCCAAGCAGGACCTGCTGAACCTGGGGCCCTATAGGAGAGCACTGACGGCCCACCCCTGAACGTGGTCCTGGTCTTCATGTTTGCATCAGCCTCAGCCATCTCAACACCACAATGGAAACATAGCCAAGTTAGAGAAGAGCCCTTCATATTATTAAGCTGCTAAATTAACTAATCTTGGAAACTTTTGGACATAACAATTCTTGTGGTATGAGGTAATAAACCCCTTGTTTTGTAGGTCATTTTGGGGGGTTCTTTCATTAATCACAACTAAAGCATTATAACTGATAGGAAAGACCGCATATTGGTGAAAAATGTCTACAGAGGGACTAGCAGGAGATGGTAAAGCTAAAGGAGTTTTGCTCTAATGTTCAAATTCATGTCACCTGCCTTAGAGAATGCTGTTCCTGCTTTTCCCTAGCCACTCTGCTGGGCATGAAAGGCCCCCTGTACTCCTTGGACCCAGAGAACAGAAAATGTCTTCACTTATACTCTGTCCCCTCACATTCCTCCACTCTTGGAAGATTTAACAAGTTCAAGTGAGAAGATATTAGCCAAATACAACAAGAGGCTAAACACAACACCCATGTTGATTGATTGGTGTGTAAGAATTGAGATGACGGAAAGAGGTCACTCTGAGCTTCAGGAGTAGCTTGAAGCTAACTGATAAAACAGGTGAGGTTTGTTTTGGGCCCTCCTACCTCCCTCATAATATATTCTTCCATCCTTCAGAAGTCATCTACTACATAAATTTCTGGTTTCATACTTGGTCATTCCTGCTTATGGAGCTAACTAATAAATGTAAGGTACTATCTTCCATAAAGGGTTGGCTGCCCAGTGCCTCAATTTCCTTTAAATGTTTGTGATTTCATGATTCTTCACTGCTTTATTCCTGCCCTCCTACCTGGGACAGTGGATTTTGGGGACCTTGAGAAGTTATAAATTTATAAAACTCTACTCAAATTTATGGGACTAAAAGAAGATTAATAACATCCTCTGGAAAAAGTAGCTCCAGAGAAAAGTCATATGAAAAAAGGCCCTTGAAGGATGTGGGTTTGATCACATATGTATAGGGAAGCCTTTGGTCCTAGGAGGCTGGTAGTTTTGCACACGTGAAGCTGTCTCCCTCTGGTTGAGGAATGGAATATGATCCTTAGAAGCATCTTTATCCGCATTTTAAAAATGGCTAGGCACGAAGCATGCTTCCCAGATACTTCTAGAGATTAGCACAGGGGTCTATAAATTATGATTCTTTATTCTTATAGGTTGTATACTAGGTTGAAAAATATTCCCACAAAATTTATGTCATCCCAGAATCTCAGAGTGCGAGCTTATTTAGAAATAAGTGTAATTAGCTAACATACAGTCATACTAGATTCAGTTGGGCCTTAAATCCAATGGCTGGTGCCCTTATGGGAAAACAGATGAAGACACACAGAAAGGAAGGTCACTTAAAGATGGAGAAAGAGTTTGAGTTCTGTTGCCACAAGCCAAGGAACACCAAGAGCCACCAGAAACTGGAAGAGGCAAGAAGAGATCTTCCCTTGAAGTTTCAGAGAGAGCATGGCTCTGCCAACATCTTCATTTTGGACTTTTAGGCTCTAGAACTATGCGAGAATAAATTTCTGCTATTTTAAACCACCCAGCTTGTGGTAATTTGTTACAGTGGTCCTGGGAATAATACACAGGTGAAAAATAGAAGTAGACCCCTCATGGGGCACATTGACCATCATGGACTAAAAAGGCACACAAGCTGGATGCTGACTGGGCCCTCCGTTTCACAAGGGGACGTGGAGGAGTATTTCTTCAACACAATGCCTGCTCACTGTTGTGCATCAGAAGCTGTGTTTACTTTCCATCTCATATGAGCCCATGAGGTAAGAAATATTTAATTGGATGCCATCTCAAAGGTCAGCATGCCTGTCTGTTTATGTGCAATTCACACTCCTCTGGGTTTCTCTCACTCCTGCGTTTTCATCAAAATCCTTCTACCAAAGTCTGATCACAAGGTCTTCCTGTATGAACTGGTGAGTTTTTCTCAGTGGCATGGACAAAAAGGCTGAAAGCTGTTGGAAGCTTCCTCCATAGTAGATTAGCAGCACATGGGTGAACCAAGCTCATGCATTATTCAGAAAGGAAAAATGTGGGCTTTGACTGAACTTTGAAGGAATCAGCAGCTATTCCAGAGGAGAGTGCCCTATTGTTCTGCCTCACAGAACACAAAGAGCAAGTGGCATTCCTTACAGCATAGCTAATGGAGTGCACGCAGACACTGTGATGAACTGACCAGTGGACATCTTTCATGAGCTCTGAAATCCTGTGCAGAATGACCTATTGCTGATCAGAGGGAAGATGTTCACACTTTTTTTTTTTTTTTTAATTTATGTAGCGTTATAACTCATTGCTATCCAGAGGAGGAGGTTTCTGGAAGATAAAATGGTGCCATCTGTGGAGCATGTATTTATCAATAGTACCAGAGTCCCCTTGGAAGGGTTACCAGGAAGATTAGGTTGACCTTTGGACCACTGGCAGGTCTTTCCCAAAAAACATGGGAAGCCTTTCCTGTGTCATGAAGCAAGAAAAGAAATGGTTGTGTAATTCAATTTTTTTAAAAAATAAAATCAATACTACACGTGTTTCTTTGATACCAGAAAAAGACTTTCCAAAATGGGAAAAAGAAACCCTGACCAAAATGTTCAAGTGAAGTCTAACAGGACCTTCAGCCAAGAGCATTTACAAGAATTGTGAATTAATTCCTGGTGAAGTATCTCTTTAAAAAAAAAAAAAAAAAGGTAAAAGACTGTTATTATAGTCCTCCTGAAGTCCTACTTTATCATCAATGTATCTGAGTACATCTTGAAGTCATGATTAACTCATTTAAAAGTTCACTTGTGTATGCTTATAACTCCTGTTCACAGAGGCCCAAAGCATTTTTCTAGTATTCACTTACTTGAAATTTTTTCTAGCTAAAAATACAAGCAAAAAAATAAGCTCATAAGAATAATCAATCTCAGAAACAGAGGAGACAAATAAAGAAAAAAAAAAAAGGTGTTGAAAAGTAGAGAAGATAAATGGATCTGAATAACAAATGAAATTTTCTCTCTGGTCCCAGTACTTTTCTCCCAGGTGAAAGATGCTGGATGCTGGCATTGCTGCCACTTCTGATGCGGGGCCAAGGAGATTAATGCAGGAGGAGACCTCTTAAAGAGGGGCTTTATCAAGAATGGCCTACCACATTCATTCATTGGCCCTCTGCCATCTTTGATGTCCAAGCCAGCTAGATCGAGACATGACTGTGTTTTTAACTAGCATTCAACCTTCAGGTTTTACAATGGAATTATTTCCCCAAATCTGCCATGTGCTGTTTTCTAGAGTGGATTGACAATTATTCTCTGGACTTTTTGGTAACCAAGAACTTCTAGCAACTAACCCTGGCATGACCACCAGAATCTGCAGGGCTGAGAGAAGGAAAGAAAGGCCAAAAGTGGACGAATGAAGCTGAAAGTAAGGATTATAGAGCTGTTATCTGATGTAGGGCAATGTTATCCAAAATGTAACTTGAGGTGCATTAGAGGCTTGGCCAATAAAATATCAAAAGAAGACTGCCCATTTTTTTCAGTTTTAAATTATTGGAGAAAATACCAATAACCAATAAAAGGAAGCAAGCAACAACATTGAAAATTGCTCTTTCAATATTTGTAAAACTTGGTTCTCTGAATATAATTCTTAAGCACTGAAATGAGAAAGATACTATCATAAAGATCAGTTAGTATTAAAAAGACATCTAAAAAAAACCCCTACTGTTTGAAAGTTAATAACCTTGTAATTAATCCAACTGCCCAGGATATTAATGAAAACAAGAATATTTAGTTCAGCCAATCTCAGTAACTCAATAAACTATGCTGGGATCAAATTGGTTACTTAGTGATCAGTGGTACTTACAGATTAAGAAAAGTAGGCTGGGCACGGTAGCTCACGCCTGTAATCCCAACACTTGGGGAGGCCAAGGCGGGCAGATCACAAGGTCAGGAGATGGAGAGCATCCTGACTAACACGGTGAAACCCCGTCTCCACTAAAAATACAAAGAAAAAACTAGCCAGGTGGGATGACTACTCGAGAGGCTGAGGCTGGAGAATGGCGTGAAACCGGGAGGCAGAGCTTGCAGTGAGCGGAGATCATGCCACTGCATTCGGCCTGGGCGACAGACCGAGACTATGCCCCCCCCCACCAAAAAAAAAGAAAGAAAAAGAAGATTACATTTCAATTTATTACACCATTTTATAGAAACATAGTCAGAAACATAGAGAACTCTACTTATAAATACAGTTCCCACCCAGTAAGATCTTTTTAAAAATCCCATTATAATAAATGTGCTGAGCACAAGTTTTGTTAAACTTCATGTTGGCACAAGTTTTGTTAAACTTCATGTTGCTTCTCTTCCTTCAGGCGATTTACTCAGCAATTAATTATATTCAGCCTTCATAGCTAGCTTTGCTTCAGGGTTATTTCCCCAACTAGATTATAGACATCTAAAACCACATCCTTTCAGTTTGAGAGGACTTTTTAAAGGTCATCCATCTAATGCTTGCCCTCTACTCCCCACCCACCCAATGAAGGGAATAATTTATATCTGGCTTTAACAACGGCTGGGGAATCTAAAATAATTATCATCTTATTGAAGATAAAGCATCTCAATATTACTGAAGAAATAAACAATATGTTTGAACTATTCAAAATATCCAGAAGCTTCTCTAATGTTACACAGCTATAGTGCACACCTTACCCCTGTGAGCTGGGCTACTCTTCTCTAGCTGGGTAAGCTGAGCAGAAGCAGGCCGCCTTGTTACTTAGTGGGAGATCACCCAGCACTGCCATATAATACAGGTCTTCCTGTAAAATAGTGACTAGAATACAAAGGGAAATCAAATATTTGAGCTATATGGAGGCTGAATATCAAATTTCCCCAACAATTGCATTGATTCACTTGACTAGAATTCATTCTGGAGAAAAATATCAGCTCTGTTGAGACGTTTTATTTTTTAAATAGCTAATTAAGATGGTAAACAATGTACTTGAAATAGTCTTATATTTTGAGCTTCCTGTAGTATAAAATTTCTACTTATAAAGCATCTATTTTCTAAGTATCTTTCTATAGTATTTAAACACACGTGTTACCAAGGTTACTGAGTAGATAATTTCTGTTGAGTAATGAAATTTTAAATATCTGGGAAGACCAACATAAAACAAATCCCAGTAAATGAATTAAGCATATATTTATTTGCCTACTATGCTAACCATTGTGGGATTCAACAAACACTGAAAGAAAAGTATTATCTTGTTTATATTTTGCTTGGCAAATATTCCTAAATATGTAGATTAAATTGATCTTTCGTCATTACACCTGCTCGATCATAAGGGAAGGAAAGTGATTTTTTAGAGGAATACATATTTATGTTGATAGTCGAAATTTTGATTTTTAAAAACTGTCATTATTTTGTCATTTTTCTGGTGTTCAGATTTTAAAAGCGCAATTCAATTCATATAGTACTTAAAGAAAAGCAACATGATTTTTTATAAACTTATTTAATAATACCTATAATGCTTAAACTTATTATGTAATTTGGTAATTTAAGAAATTTGTTAATATTGAATGAAGCTATCTGAATCATTCCAAGTCACCAGATTTGCCCTAATAAAATTCTTTAGCATTTTTACACATAAAAATTATTTGCAATTCAATAATGCATCCCTTCCTTCATTTCATAGATGCTATGGAACTCCTATCACATTCCAAGTGCTGTGTTGATATCTGGAGATACAGACAAGATCAAAGCAGATGCAGAGTCTTTCACATGAATATTTGAATCAGGTAATATGTTCCCCAAATTAGCAAAGTATCTCCCAGATTCTTTCTTTGATGATATATTTGAAATCCTAACACTGAAAGTTAAATTATCAGGGTTTTAAAACTAGAAGCAGTCATTATCAGAATTTTATACATTATTTATTTTTAAGAACATAAATTGTCTAAGTCTTATTATAATTTTAAGTGAAGTACTTTGGGCAGTCACAAATAAAGTAATGGGCAGGTATTTAGTATTCATATTGTGTGGATTCATATCCATACTCTGCCACTCAGTATCTCTGGGATTTTGATGAACGATCAAACTCTCTGAGCCTCAGTTTTCTAATCTGTAAAGCAGAAATGATAATGGTATGTAGTGATTAAAACAATTTACTAGTTGGAAGTGCTTAGAACAGTTCCTGGAATATAGAAAATTTGCAGAGACGTTTTAATTTTATTGTTTACAATTTAGTTAATGGAATGGCTTCAATAATACAGTAAAATGAAGATATTCAAACAAGCAGGAGGCAGGTGAAGACTATTGGCCTCAGGATGCAGGTGAACAGTGTTGGCCTCAGCTTCAGAGACCAGAGGTTAAATCTCAATGCTGCCACAAAAGGGTTCATGGAAGTCAGTAAACAATGCTTTCTTTATTATTGTTATGAAGATACAGTGCGTGGATCCCTCTCAATTGTCTATTCCTCTCTGTCACAAAAATTTGCCTGCTTTTTGTTACCATGTGAGAAGCAAATGAATTGAACTAAATGGTTTCTAATGCCTTGTCCACTTCTAAAATTCTATGGAACTGTGATTTCATTCCAATGGGCTGTATCAGGACTTGGCATTATTTTCATCAGTGAACCATTTCATTAGAATTTTTTTTTCGAAATGATATTAGTAAATATTGAAGGAGGCTTCTCTCACAGAGCTTCTTGTACAAATTAAAACAGGGCGGTAGAAGGTTTTCAGGTTGGTGAAGTCAACTCTGGCTTTTAGTCAACCATTCCAAAAAACATTTTCTTTAGAATCCAATGGCTTGCAATTGTTCTGAATAAAGGATAAAGAAGCTGTTCTGATTTATTAAATAAAAAGAGTACCACATATTTAATTTTAAAAATGTTTCAAAGTGCTTTTGTATTTATTATTTCATTCTTTCTACCCTGATGGTAATTTTTCAGAAGAGAACTTCACTGGAAACCTGACATCCTAGGCTTTGCATTCATTATATGATTTACCTACAAGGAACAGATTACATGTCTTTGAGTCAACTCACTTATATGGTGCCTTTCTCTTGTGAACATTTAAATTTTTTTTTTCAAAAAGTCACTTGGGAAAAGTTAGTCCTCAAATAGTCAAGTTATAGTTATAAAAAGAAAAATGAATTAGACACCCAAACACAGTCTTGAGATTTAACAGCCTTTGTAAGCAGCACTTTTATTTCCATACATAGAGTTTTAATCATTGGCACATCCTACTCACAACAATACATTGGAGATTAAATAATTATTTGAAACATTACCATGACATTTGCAAAAGCAAACATACTGGACTAAAAAGAAATATACTTGTGGGAAGAAAAAAATGTTCAGCTATCTTACATTGCCTTGAGATTTTCTTATTAAAGATCCTTACAATATTGTGACACATTGAGGACATGTCCAAAAACTGAAAAATGTTAGGAAGGTTCAATTTAGTCGTTTGGCTCATCTTGACTGAACATCACTGCCTGGTAAATCAAACAAATAATTGTGCAGGTGTCCATTATGAGGACCAAGAGAAATGTTTAACAACAAAAACAAATTGGTCAATTCAGTCATTATATACTATCAGTCTTCTATTCCTCAATTTTTTAAATAAAGCAGTGGTAAAATTAAATCAATTAGTTTGCCAACAGATATATATGGAACATCTGCTGTGTGTTTTTGCCTGTGGAATATTTCATAGGTTAAGATATGTCATCTGTCTGTGGTGTGGTTTTCGTTTTTTTGAGACGGAGTCTCGCTCCGTTGCCCAGGCTGGAGTGCAGTGGTGTGATCTCGGCTCACTGCAAGCTCTGCCTCCCGGGTTACCCCATTCTCCTGCCTCAGCCTCCTGAGTAGCTGGGACTGTAGGTGCCCGCCACCACGCCCGGATAATGTTTTTGTATTTTTAGTAGAGACAGGTTTTCACCATGTTAGCCAGGATGGCCTCGATCTCCTGATCTCGTGATCCGCCTGCCTCGGCCTCCCGAAGTGTTGGGATTACAGATGTGAGCCACCACACCTTTCATATAGCAGGAGAGGTCACATGTAAACACGTGAAACAATGCTTCAGCTTCATTCCTATCACCTTAGCCCAAGGCACCATCATCTCCTCCCCAGATTTCTGCATGTCCTCTGTTTCTTCATTTGCCCTTTTATAATATTTCTTCTACACAGGAGTCAGTGATCATCCATTACATTTAAAATAAAACCTATACTGTTTAGCATAGGAGGAGGAGAAGGGTGAAGAGGAAAAGAAATCACTATTTTCCCTATCCCATACTTTTCCAATTTCTCCACAGTCTGACCCTATCTCTCTTACCACATCTCTTGTCACTTTTCACCTTGCCCAGGCTGCAGTCTATCTTTCTCTACTCTAAGTAATGCCGATGGGAGTAGGTGTCCTTATCTGTCTTGTTCTTTGTATCTGCATTGTCTAGAACAATGTCAGGCATGTAGGAAGCATATAATAAATATTTAAAATAATAAGGAATAAAAGAGTATTATGTACTTTCTATATATTGGTAGGCTAAATTTGCAAACTGTTTACAGACATTAAAGAACAGAATAATCATTTATTTTTATTTATTTATTTTTGAGATGGAGTCTCACTCTGTCACCAGGCTGGACTGGCTTCAAGCCATTCTCCTGCCTTAGTCTCCTGAGTAGCTGGGACTACAGGCATGCACCACCACGCCCAGCTAATTTTTGTATTTTTAGTAGAGACGGGGTTTCACCATGTTGGCCAGGATGGTCTCCATCTCCTGATCTTATGATCCACCCACCTCGGCCTTCCAAAGTGCTGGGATTACAGGTGTGAGCCACTGTGCCTGGCCCAGAATAATCTTTTATAAAATCATAATACATACCAAGTTCAGAAATAAAATAATTTTTAAAATAATTGGGACAGTAAGCATAAGGTAGACCTCATGGGAGGTTAAGCCTTGAGATGGGTCTAGAATAATAATCTGAATTCAATAGGTGAACAGGAGGGATGAAGTATAGCATTCTAGCACAGTACAAAACCAAACGTGAGCCAGGAGTGGGAGTAGATGTGTGAATATGGTTGGAAGAGGACATTAAGAAGGCCAAACTGATAGACCCACGCATTCAGATTAAGGAAGACTGGAAACGAAGTGTGGATAAGAACAGCCAAACCATTAAAAGACTTGGGCAGATCAGCAAAGGAGATTATAATTGATTAAGTAGGAAAGCAAAATGGATTAAATGTTTTTGAGGAGATTGCCATCATGACAAAAGTAGTGTTTTAGGAAGATTCATCTTGCAGCACATGGAAGGTGGAATAAAGGAGGTAAATAACTTTAGGCCGGAATACCTGCTGACCAATGTCAATCTTTGAGAATGAGGTGATAAGGTGAGGGCCGTAGTATGAAGTGACAAAGATAGTAAGAGAAAGGGGACAAACCATAGAGGATAACAACCTATGGTGTGAATTTGGGTGTGCAAGAAGGGAGAAAGTCAAAGCTAATAAGACACAATGTGTACTAAAAAACGCCCTTTCCAGCAGGAGACTGGAGACAAAGGAAGCCATATTGCTAAAGGTCAACCTTCTACACCCCAAACATAAAGGTTACCCATGTGCTTTAAGTTTCTATATCTTTCTCAGTATTTGAACAAATTTAAAATATATCATTCTAGAATCCTATTATTAGATTATGGCTCTTTCAAAGTCTCTCAGTGAGTTATACATCTATATTTATAGCTTTCTTATCATCAGTCAATCAATAAAGTGTTTCAGTATAATTTATAGGCTGTTTGTCATAAATATCCATTAAGGTGTCTTCCAAAACACCCCTTCTCTGCCTACTCCATTCACAGAAGTGGATCTGGCTGGCAATACCTGATTGAACACTGACATGGGCACCTGTTTTAAGCTGGTCCAGTTAGAACCTGGCCTTGAGAATTTTAACCAGTAAACAATAGGCAAAAAGGAACAGATGCATGTTCCTTACGGAACTCTAGAGAAAAAAATCCATGAGTTTGGAGCAGTTTTGTCTCCATCCCTTCAAGTGCTTCATTGTTCAAGTCTTTTTTCGTTTCTTCTGTCCCTTTTTATCATCTTCTGGTTTCTATTGTATACAACTCAAAGAAATTTAATGAGTACCTAGCATAAAATACTTACGGAACTTGTATCAAATGCAGATGCAGATGTTTCTAGTGGAACTGGGAAATGAGAGCAGAACAAATGTAATTGTGGAACTTGGAAAGAAAGCTTGCGCATTAATAAAACCCTTTGCAAAACTCATCTAAAACAGGCAAGCAACATTTGACTCATAAACACAGGATTAGACTTCTGTTTGTCTTTCTCTTCCCAGAAGAGTGATGTTTTTGGTAGGAGGTTTTCCTATGTGTTCCCAATTTACCATCTCCTTGATCAAAGAAATAAAAACTTTTAAGTTTGGAGGGTATAAGAACAGATGAGCTGTGGTTTCATTTAAAAAAGATAGAAGGGTATAAAATCTAAATTGCCAGAAATAAAATGTGAGTTAAGACATAACAGTTTAAATGGCGATGCTAGCTTCCCCTGGTCACTGGAATTCTAACAGTACAAACGCTTAACAGGGTTGAGACACCTACTCTCTTATGGATGGAGAGAATATGAAAACAGCAGAGCCTGTTTTTGTAAGTGGCACCCAAGGATGTTTCTACTCACCCTGAATAGTACTTCAGTTCATTAACTAAAATACTTTTGTATTATGGTAGATTGGTTTTCTATTGGCTTTACTTTGGAATATTTTATGAGATGCTTACAGAAGTAAGCTTAAGAAAAACTGGGCTTTTAAAATAAGAATCAACAGGATGGGAGGCGTTGGTATATTCTTTCATTTATTCATTTATTCAAAATATTTCTTATGCTGCCAGGTATCACGCTAACAAAGTGATTTCATAGACTGTTTGTTTGTTTGATTTAAGGATTTGGTTACTGCTTACATAAATCTTGCTCTGATAGAAAGGCAAACATTAAGCAAAGAATTGTATAATAATATGATTA